AAAGTTATGATCTCCAATACATTTAATTGAATGTATAATCACTCCTTAAAATTATTTTGCCGTGTCCGGACACGTAAACACCTATGTTTGTCATGTGGAAAAAAATACAACAGAGGGCTATATTATGCAAGTTGCTGAAACACAATTAAATTGGCACACCTCGTCGCTTCCTCCCTGGCAAGGTACTCCCTTCATGTGTATCCTGAGCACGACTCATAACAAAATTAGCAAATGAATTATGAGGGGGTATCCTTGATTCCCATGAAATCAGAATGAAGTCTTCTTTCGGTCTAACACTAGGATCTGCTAGCAACTCCCCAAATGTCACACTTGGCGATTCCTTCTTGATTGAAGCATTAATCGTATAAGGTATCATGCTAAGTGGATGCATAGCAAAGTCCGTTATGTCCACCGGGTGTCCTTGTTCTATAAGCATGCTTGGATGCACACCATACACGGCGATGTTTCTTTTAATCATTCTTATCCCCTTGTCCAATATGCAATGCCAAAACTGAGCATTAAGATTTCTCCTCAACAAATCTGCATAAGCATTTGTTGCAACAAGTGAACCTTGTGTGTGCAACTGCTTGGCAACTTCATCTGCTATTTTTAGTAGACGTGGATGTTCTGCTGGGTCTACGCTCCCGAATGCCAGTGTCTTGAATAGGTACCTCCACTCGTCATAAGATAGAACACTTAGAAAAATCGGTTTCACTGATCCAAATCGGGCTAATCTTTGAATTCTACTTATGATGATGATATGGCTTCCTCTACCCATTGTTATGAGAACTGAGTGGAAGTTTTTCCAGTCATCATCACTTACATCAGAAGCAAACTCAATAACTACAAGCATCTTCATCCCAGACATGGTCCTTCCATGCCTCAAAAGACTATCGCCACTCAAGTGCAAAACAGAAGAGAAGCACGAGCGAACCCTTTCGTCGCCACACACATGAGCAACCAAAGTTTTCTTCCCAACTTTGGCACCACCTATGATCGGAAGAATGGCTGGTGCATCACCAGCAGGTCTGTGCTGCAACAAGAAGCTCAAGAGTTTTTGCTTTTCAGCATGCCGGCCGAACATAAAGTTGTCGGTGTAAAGATAGATGTCGTATGGCCTACGAGACATGCGCTCGCATCCACCCAGAAGCAGAACAAATTCTGCCATGTTAGCAATAGCGACTTCTAAGCTTTCCAAGGTTCCTAGTGACTCGAGGCACATGGCCTTGTCATCCTTCTCGGTTGTTGTTCGAGAACGCTTGAGGGGAATTGCTAAATACATGCTGCTGGTAGATGAGTCTTTGATGCTAACCTCATCGAAGCCTGCACTGTCTTGGAGGGTTCGGTACCTCGAGGTGTCCAAGACGCGGTATCCTCTGTACATGGCCTCTGAGAGCATCTTGAGCTGCAACAACATCCCCGAGTTGGTTATGTATCGCGCATCCGCCTCCTCAACGACCATGCTTACTCTCATCAGGAGGTGCTGCAACCTCTCTATCAGCTCTTCTGCTTCCGAGCGTGAAGGCTTCGGGTGGTACTTGTTCAGCAGGAAGGAGATGAAATGGCTTGCAAGTTCACCTGCAACTGCAGATATGACAACCTCCATGGCCAGGATTGATTAGGTGAAGCTGCTGGTCAGCCGGTCTGGAGAAATAATTTACCTGTCCGGCTTCCGCCAACACTTGCAGAGACTCTTGTATTGGCAAAGTAGTAAGAACAGCTCGTTACTTGAGTATAATATATGTAAGGGCACAAGTAACACGTTTGTTCTTTTTCTTTGGTTTCTTCAGAACCCAATCAGTCTATGTGGCTTATATTTCCACACGTCCAATTGACTATGGACCGGTCTTTCTGCACTTGACAGTCTTTTCTCATTTTATTATCCCTCTGTTTGGCCACTGTTGTGTGTGTACCAATTAGAACCCAGACGAGATGAAGTAGTAGGCTAGGCCCTGATTCAGCTTATTCTTTCTTCAAATTAAATTCTAGAGCAGAGTCAGAAACATATGTCAAAAGCAGCCAATTCTATATTCTAGTGACGCTGCGTACCAGAAGTTTCTATTTTCTGCGCCAAATCGATCCAGCTCTATGCTATAGATAATGACAGCCACTGCAACCACTAATCCACTATCGTCGGTGCTGGGTAACCCTGTGACAGCGATCGGCACCAGCTAACAAAGGGAGACGAGACGAGACGACGACTTGTGTTGTTCGACTGTTTCTAAGATATATGGAAGCACTGTCGTTCGACTGTTTCCAGAAACGTGCAACTCATGTCTATTTCCACAAACGTCAGGGAAGGGGCAATGTGAGACTCCTCAAAAGCTGACAATTTACTGATTTGGAAGGAATGCATCCAGCCATGCATCTAACTTGATACTGCAATTTTCATGGGAAAACACCAGCCATCGCCCCAACGGTTTTTCTGCTGTCAAACTGACAATGCACTTCTCTCTCAAAAAATAACTGACACTACACTACATTGGCGGGCTTTGGCGATGTGGCAGCCCAAGTCTGGAGGGATCACCGGCGGTGGGTCGGGGAATGAATTCCACAAATTTTGATGTTGGGCTAGTATAAATCTCGGACCATCCTAGCTCGTACGAAATGCCGGGTTTGTTTTTTGTTCATGTTAACTGTAATATTTCGTACCCGCAGAAAAAAGAGAGTAAATTTCATTGTTTTCTGAAATTGTCACCCCGTCTGCATGTCTACGGTACATTACGTAATTTCTTTTACATTTTTCTTTCCGCTTATATTTTGAAAACTTCCAAATATACATATTTTTCAGAAATTAATGTACTTCAAAATTCAAAATTTCACCGCACACTAAAAAATGTTAAAAGATCATGTATTTTGTATAAAATGTTAATCTCATTCTAAGAAAATTTCATTGCATTTAATTAAAATTTCGCAGTGTAAACAATTATTGGCGCAAGTAAAAATGTTCACACCATTAAAAAATGTTTTACATGTATTAAAAAATATTCAAAGTATATCTAGAAAATGTTCAACATGCATTTGAATATGTTTAATATGTATTAAAAATTGGTCATCAGGTTTATGAAAAATTCCTACGTGTATAAAAAAATAGCGTCTATTCAAAAAACAATCAACGAGTTTTTGAGGAAGCAATCATGTATTTTTTTTTAAATGTTCAATGTGTACCTGAATTTTTTAACATGTGTTCAAAAATGTTCAACGTGTATTCAGAAAATCTTTAATGTGTATCTGAGAAATGTTTAACATGTAATCAAAATAATGTTCAAACATGTATTTCAGAAATTGTTCGCCATGTATTTGAAATGTGTGCACGGTCTATACAAAAAGTTAGCGTATTTAAAAATAATAGAAGAACTAGAAAAAGAAAAAATGAATAAAAAATAAAATAAAATGGAAAATAGCAATGAAAACTAACAATGGAAACATATAGAAAATAAAAAACAGAAGGAAACTATTAAAAACAGAATAAGAAAAATATAGTGCACGAAGTGTGCTAAAACCAATCCATGCTGATCTATAAAACTGTCATGAAAACGTTCTAATGAGTTGACCTACTAATGTGATCACACACGAAATGCTGAGGCAAGACGGTGATACATCACGCTATGGTTATAAGTTGCCCATACCGATTCCTAATAGGAATTGCCTACGTGCGACGTCTAGCGGCTGACCAGTAGCGAGGTTCCCTTTGTTGCGCGCTGTAGGTTCTTGTAGGGTTTCCTATTTATTATTTATTTATTTATTTGTTTTATCATCTGTTTTCTTCAGAGTTCCTTTGCTTTTATCGCTTGTAGGGTTGCTATGGTTTTTCTTTCTTCGTTATACTTCGGTTTTCTTTTTTTATTTCTTGGTTTTCTTTGTTTTGTACGATCCTTTTGCTTTTATTTTTGTAGAAATATTTTTTAAATGTCACAAACATTTTTGAATCCCCGGAATTTTTCTTCAAAATGTCATGTACATAGTTCTAATGGTTCAAAACCTTTTTTACGGTACAAAATATAAACATTTCGAAATATAAACAATAAAATAAAAATGTAAAAAAGGAAAACAAAAATGTACGGGAAAAAAATGGAAATGCATGGATGACTTCAATGCCACGTCAGCAGGTGGGGTCACTGGGCTGACCCTGTGATAGGTATTGCTGCGGGGGGCACATAGCCACATCCGATACATCACACTGTAAGTGAGATATATCCCTAGCGCACCTGGGTTGCAGAGCTCTGCAATATGCTAGTTTTTTTTTGTCTCAAATGCCTTCTGCATGTCTAGTTTCACCGCATAATGATAATTCTTTTTGCCTCTTTCTTCTCATATAATTCAAACACTCATAGGTCGCAATGACACTGTCAACAATAAGTTTATCCGGCACAAAGGTTGATGTTGTTCATAGATAATTTCGGGGAGAACCTGCTTAAGTTGGTTTGCGAGTACTTTTGAATCGACTTTATAAATCACACTAAGCAAGCTAATAGGGCAGGACTGTGAAAAAAGTATTGTTTGTACCTTAGGATTAATAACAATGAGCATCCTGTTAATCTCCTACGCATAATCTCCTCCCTTCAATATCCTAATGACAACATTAGTAATGTCTGTCTTCTCACCTTGCAAGTGCCAATAATTTTGAAAAACTTGAGCTAGGAATTAATCCGGGCCCGGTGCTTTTGTCGAGAACATTTGGGAATAGGGCCACACTAGTGCAAAAATGCCTACTAGCGGTGTTCGGAGAACGTTGTTAGTGGCGCCCCATGCCGACGCCATTAGTATGATGCCAGTGCTAGGCTGGTATTACCTGCTTATGCTCCCAACGCCACTCGTACGTGTCTCATCAGTTGTATCAATATGCAATGCCACTAACCGACAAATTATCAGTAGCACAAGCTGTATGGTCAGTGGCGGAGGCAGGGGGTGCTGGCAGGGGCCAAGACCCCCCCTATGCTCTCACAAATACATCTATATATACTCCTAATCTTTCATTTTTCAGACAAAATTAGCTAGGTTTAGATGATTTGGCTCCCTCTAACATTATATAACATGTTTTGGCCCTCTCTATATTTAGTTTCGGGCTCCGCCACTGTGTATGGTAGACAACAGTAATAGAAGGCACAAATTGAGTTGTCAGTAAATCCCCGTGCATCCCCGTTGTCAGTAAATCCCTACTATCTAATAACCCCTGGCTACACAAATTGAGTTAACACGTTAATTAAAATAAATCTTACTTAAACATTAATATTAAACTAGACGGCGACTAGGGTTTCTTTCCTCTCGGTGATTTCGCTTGCCGCTGAGTCCTATCGAGACACAGGTGACTGCAAGTCGGAAGCGGTGATGGCTTCCCCCTCGTACGCGCGTTCGGCGATGGGCGGAGGATCTCGTGGAGGCAGTATATGTGAACTAGATGATTTTTTTGGGCAACTTGACCTAACAGAGGAAGAATTCGATGATCTGGTCATTGATGAGGAAATTCCAGAGATCAAAGAACGCGTCCGCTGGATGGCTCTTGCTCGTGTTCATACCAACAAAAGTTTCAGCCAGGCGGCGTTCTTCAAGGAGATGCGGGCAGCCTGGAACACGGCGCAGCAGGTGAGATTCAGGCCGGTTGGGGCCAACCTGTTCGTTGTGCAAGCATCATGTATGGGAGATTGGGAGCGTATTATGCATCAGGGTCCGTGGTTGTTCAGATTTTGGGCCGTGCTGCTGCATCCATATGATGGCCTTAGCCGAGCTGAGGATACACAGATTGTTCATATGCCAATTTGGCTGCAAATCCACAAATTACCTGATGGATATTGTAGAGAAGATATCGTGGAAAAGCTGATTCGTAAGGCTGGTGAAATTTTGGAGTACAAGCTCTCGGGTAATTCCAGAGGTGACTATGTGAGAATTAGGGTGAAGCATGATGTACGTGAGGCCCTAACAAAGCATGTAAGTATTATCAGAGGAAAGGAGAGGCAGGTTTTTGCTGTAAGATATGAGAAACTTGCTCGATTTTGTAAGTTCTATGGCAGAATTGGACATGAGTATAAGGAGTGTGGGTCGGGCGAATACGCTGCAAAGGAGTTGAAGTTTGGGGATTGGCTTTATGCGGATCCACCAAATATGAACAGAACTGAATTAAAAGGAGGTTGTCGTGGTGCTAATCCTAGTACTGTTGAAAAAGGTGATGTGGATCTTGAGAATACTGCATCTAGTCCACTGAAGGACCCCTCTTCTGGAAAGGTGCTGACTGTGCAGGTGATTAACGCTGCTGGAAACACAAGCATGGAAGTGGACAAAAGTGTGAGGAAGCGTCTTCTTCCAACTGATGATTTTGTGGTTGTACATGGTGAGCCAATTGAGCATATTCTTGCAATAACTTCAGGGAATGGTGAGGATATTCATACGTCTTCGCCAACCTCTAGTTCGGGAAGTAAAAGAGTGAAGAATGGTATTAACTCTGTTGATGATTTAAACATTGCGGTGGGCTCCCGTGAGGAGTCGCGCCGGGAACAATGAATTCCCTAATTTGGAACTGCTGGGGGGCGAGGAACCGCCGGACAGTTCGTGAGGTGTTGGCCCTCTCAAAAACCAACATCCCCAAGCTTGTCTTTCTTTGTGAAACAAGGC